GGGACTGCATCTCCTCACGATGCTCCACTGCCTCGTGGACTAGACCTTCATGTCAAAGGCTCCGGGTGTGGCCCCCTTAGAAAACCACCTGCTTCAGTTTGGGCACCTGAGCAGTATCACAGCCCTCACACAAATTGAATGAGATTTGTGAGGCGCATATTTATCTGGTGCTTCCTTGTACCAATATTTATGTGTTTAAATAAATAAATAATAATTGCTGATCAGTTACAAATAGCACGAAACGTAACTACAACATTTCCTGTCAACCACTTCCAACCACCCTATATCTGAACATATTGCATTCGATATCGAGTTACTGAAACTAGTTGTTATATTACAACTTAGCCGATAGAATTGAATTACCACTAAAAAGCTTGAACAAGCTTGACACTAGTCAATGCTCAGTAATTATTCACTTGTAAATGGTAATCTATATGATTTCTCTTATCATTGATAATTTCTAATGGATATATCATCAATACAACACTTAAATATACATAAGTGACTAAACTTGTTAAAATAGAAAAAACCATGGAGTGTTAAATTTTTAAACTATTTCCTCAATCGATTAATATAAGACTTCATGTATATATTTACTTAGTCATATATGATTTCTATTTGAGAGGAAAGTAAAGCATCATTGATAAACAAGGAGGATCGGATGCAGATGTAAAGGCGAGGATCGGCAAAGCAAGAGCAATATTTCTACAATTGAAGAACGTATGGAACTCAGAACAACTGTCAACTAATTTCAAAGTGAGAATCTTGAGTACAAACGTCAAGACAGTCGTACTTTACATAGCTGAAACGTGGAGAACTACTAAATCCATTGTCAAGAAGGTACAAGTATTTATAAACAGTTGTCTACGCAAAATACTCAGCATTCACTGGCCGGATACTATCAGCAAGAGCGTTTTATGGGAGAGGACAAACTAGCCTCCAGCTGAAGAGGAAATTAGGAAAAGACGTTGGAATTGGATCGGACATACATTGAGGAAATCATCAAACTGCATCATGAGGCGGTCTCTAACTTGGGATGGTGAAGGGAAGCGGAAAAGAGGAAGGTCAAAGAACACATTACGCCAATAAATAGAAGCAGATATGAAAAGGATGAATGTTAACTGGAAAGAGCTGGAAAGGATTGCCCAGGACAGGGTTGGATGGAGAATGCTGGTGTGCGGCCTATGCTCCTCCACGAGGGGTAACAGGCGTAAGTAAGTAAGTAAGTGAGTATTTGAGAGTAAACCCATTGATAGACTGGTATATGTATCATGATAAAACTTCTTTTCAATATTATTAAAATTTACTTATGTATTAGTCAATCTCAATCTGAAAAAACCACCATATCAGGTCAAATATCGTTATTTTTAAAACTCAATAACGTAACTGATCATATTAAGTCTTTAAAAGAACGTTAGAAGAAAAGAATAGAAGAATTATTCTTGTAATCATGTACGACATTTAGTAAAAAGAAAATATTTATAGGACTGTTGTACTACAGAAGTCAAGCCTTGATTAGATCATACATACTAAAATCAATACGCGTCAATACGGTTTCAGTGAGTTTATGCAATGTAATAGGAATTTATTTTGATAAATTTTCTTTCCTTTCACTTTAGTGGTTAGTCTTATTATTTACCACCATAGAAACGATAATAATAATAATAACAAGGAAAAAATATCCTGATTTCAATATTATTGAGAAATCTTGAACTAGGGCGAAACGTCTGTTCATTGCTTCTAGGTGGTCTAACATTGAGTATTTCATTATTCCAAAAATAGTATTCCAGTCTACGATTCACCCATTCTGTAATTCTCACTAGTCATGATAGCAATTTATAACTGATCTGTGAACATAATTCAGATTTTAATGTTACGCTTAATTGTTTAGAGATATTAAATGTTGACTGGATTAAATAGTGCAAATCTATATTAGGTTTACTTCAGATTGTATATATATTTTGCTGGTGAGTATGAAGAAATACGATAGTTGTGTTTACAATTTTATGTTTGACCAATTAGGTGGTCGTTGAGGGGGGGGTTATTCGACAGAAAATTCTGAACCTAAACTTCGTAATTTTTGGCTCTTATCAGCAAGGTTTACCTGTTATCTTCAGGGAACTGATGCAATCTGGTGTATCCAGTCTTTTTTCAATCAGCCCCATAGTTAGAGATGTTACTATCTAGATCCAGGGTTTAGTTTTGACTACCTCCAAATACCCTGTGTTTCAACATAGTGTGCGTGATATAAATTTCTTTAGACTAGTGGCCTTAATACAAGTTAATCGATAAAATTTGATCAGTACTAACAAGAACTTGACATACATGACATTGGTCACCATTTAGTGATTAAGCGGTTGTAAATCTTTTAGACTTTATTTATACGATGTGTAAAATCAATTAAATAGTTATAACTTCAAACAAACTACAAAACATCACTTTCAGATCCTAGCCACTGACTATGCAGATATAGAGTATAGGTTAGCACGCGGGAAGATTGAAAGAGGACTGAGCTCAGCCGAACAAATATATGGTATTGATGCATGAAAAGGTAATCCATGTCAGAAGGGGTAGATCACTTGGTAGTAGCCTGTGTAACAATCATAATCAGTAGTTAGAGGACTTAAGTAAAATGGTTAAAAACTGATCTAAATTGTTTGGAGGTATTCACTTTTTGTCTTCCTTTAGATCCTCACTTTTCACATGATTTTATCCTCTCTAGTTCGTGATTTTATTCATTCCGCTAGAACTGTATTCTCAGTGTTTGCGTTTCCATTATTATTATTATTATTATTATTATTATTATTATTATTATTATTATTATGACTCCTTTTATTTTAATTATTTCACTATAAAACTGGACATTGACAATAGTTCACAGGTAATTCTGTACTTGAAAGTGTTTCGTTATGCCAAGTTTTGGCACTACTGAATAAACTGTTTAGTAAACCTTCCTTGGTGTAGATGTAATATCCATCATCCAAAAACGGTCATAACCTTGTAGTTAAATTAATTTTTTTTAAAATACTTGTCTTTTGCTTAAACCATTTACTAAAGACCACTACACGTTTACAAGATTTGATGACTATTATGGTGTGCATCCAGAAAATAATGATGCACTCTAAAATACTGTCACCTCTGATTATGTATTTTAACTACAATTTATGCTTAATAGTATTGATATTTCTATGGTAGATGTTCAGTCAGAATAATTTGTGAATCAAATCTTTTTAAATAATGCTTATTTTCATTATTATCTATTTGTACAATCAAAAGCACGGATTCATTTAAATTTATAAGGTCAAATATCATTAGTAGATAGGATGAGAAAAAGTAACCGTCTATGAAATTCAAAACTTTTATGAACATAAACGCGATAAAACAGAGACGATGAAGGCTAGCAGTGAAATCCATGACGTGTGTTCAGTTTCATTTGGGACTCGTCAGCTGGATGTGACTGTAACTCAGTTGATGTTCACTTCGGGACACGAGCCCAGTGCCTTTAGCTTCAAACGCCATCGCGTTAACCACTGAGCTACTAAGTCCTGATAGCCACTTGCTTGTGCAATGGGGTGAAGTTAAATTCACTTTTGTATTGGTTGTTTGAATGTTCTCATTGACGTTGAGGACTGCAATTGATGGGCCAAAATCATCTCTGTTCATAATACTTGTGACTTAGGGCAGTATCGGGACAATCCGAACAGGATACACATATGCCAATAAGAGACTGATCAATTGCAGACATCAATGGGAACATTCAAGCAACCAATACAAAAATCAATTAGAACAATTAGAAGACGGAGTTGATCTGATTGTTTTACCGAAATTTATAAAAGGGAGTAGTTGTTTTAAAAAAGCAATAAATTATCATAAATTAAATGTCTGACTAGATTAAAAAAATTACAACATTCAGTTTTATTGATAAAAAGTAATGAAGAGTTATGGCAGGCTACGAATCTTCTAACGAGTTTCCCAAACTATTCTTATGACTATACTTTACAGACAATAATAATAATTATCTCATGTTAAAGATGATAATTTGTCTAGTCAGTTCAAAGCCCCCAAATGCCATGGTTCGGTCGAGGATGAAGAGAGTCATCTTTCCCTCTCGAAATACCCTAACATGACCACGCGCATTAGCCTCTGACAGGGAAGTCCTACTCACTGACTTCTCGTGGCATTACTGTTGTTTACGAAATGGAGAGGACGAAAAGCAAATTTCCGGCGCTTTAACCGGGTTGATGGACACGGCGAGTCCACCTAGGGGAGTTGGAAAACCCTCATTCCAAACCAATGGTGTACATGGGCTCCAGTATCCTGAGGGAATAAATGGTGTGTGAATGAATCGTTGGTCACCGCCTACCATGGGACTGCATCTTATGACATTGCTCCACTGCTTTGTGGATCAGACTTTTGTCCGAATGTGGTCCTTAAGAAAACCACCTGTTTCGGTTCGGAAACACGAGCAGTATGATAGCCCATACAAAAATCAAGTGACTTGTGTGGTGTATATGTATTCGGTGCCCCTTTGTATCAATATTTATGTGTTCAAATAATAAATACTAATAGAATTTTAAATGATTGTTTGACTGATGTCAGGAAATGATAAGAACAATTTTTAGAAATGAAATAAAACAGTTTCTTAATGATTATAATTAAATAAAACAAACATTTCATTTATTTCCTTAATATTCTATCGTTGAAATCACGGGTCAATTGAAGCTAGACCACCATGGGAAACCTGGAAGCACTGGACGGCCGTTTCATCCTATTGTGGGACGGCCGTCTAGTGCTTCCAGGTTTCCCATGGTGGTCTAGCTTCAATTGACCCGTGATTTCAACTATATAAAATTACTGAAATCTCCTCAAAACCCTTTCCTTAATATTCAATTTAAAAAAAAAACATAACAGCATAACTTACAGTTTTACTAATGTAATATTAATAATTTTGAATGTTGATTGTTAAAACCATCCACATCCATTCAATCTTTATCATTTAATTAAGATTTAAACAAAGTTGAAACATTATCTCTTACATAATTCCATTGATACATTGAACTTAAACGTGAACCAGATGGATAACGTGTTGATAAACCTTCTGGCAATCGATATGGAAAAATAGCACTTTTAATAATATTTGGTAATAAATTTTCTAATAAATTTAATGCATAACAAATATTGATAAATGATGGACCGGCTATAGTTAAACGTCGACATGGCATACCTTTAATACATATTATACTTGAATTCAGTTCACTTAAATGTATTTTTGTACCGGATTGTTTTTCAATTGAATGAATACGACGATCAGCTAATTTATTTTGTATAGTTTTATTTTGTTTCATTTCATTAATATGGTGTAAATTTTGTATCTGTGACAGTTTATCTTGGAAATCTTCTCTTCGAAATGGTATTAAATAATCATCTACCTAGAATGAGAATATTAAAAAGAAAAACGTAAAAGGAATGTAAAGAATATTTAGGGGGGGGGAAAGTTTTCTTATGGAAAATATAATTTATTGAAGCTGTATACTTGTAGATACATTAGTATTGTATGTGGTCTACTTATATCCATATAAGTAGTATATGGTGATGGTCAGAAATAGAATGTATTTGGGCAGAAGATCGATAAGGAAAGAACAGGAATGAAGCGCAAGCAGTACAAAAATACATGAACAATGAGATCAGAGAAGATGAACTGTTATTTGCAGAAAGAACAGTTAAGATTGAGACAATTGATTGTTATTTTGCAAATTAACTGTTTGCAGTCTGGTTATCAGAATTTAGTACAAATCTCACGAGGCAGGATCGTGTATGTGCACTACTGAGGATTCTCACAATAGGACGAAATGGTTGTCAAATGTTTCCAGGTTTTCCATGTTGGTCTAGCTTTAATTGACTCATGAATTCAACTACAAAATTACAAATAATTAATGGACTTTGTAACTAGAAAACTACAGCGTTGAATCTTTGGAGTATAATAACATTTTGTGTATGATAGAAAAATATTGAGTTCAGTTCAATGTGGTGACTAACTGTCCTATTGGTTGTAGAGCTGATGTAATTCAAATAACATACTATCTCTCTGATTTAGAACTTTTCATTATGGTTCTTCATTATACTTTGTTTAGATTTAATTGTTTTTATGAATTCTCAATAGAATTTAAGTAATACATTTAACTAATGGATTAATAGACAAATGGAGATACATTAGAATATGTATCGAGACTGACTTTTGGAAAATGAAAGTATAATTCTACTTAATCAGTAATATACAATAAGAACCTGGAACATCTATGCATCAGTTCAAGTGAGACCAAATTATCATGACAAATATTAGAGTAATAAAAGTTATAACAGTTTTAGATAGTCACCATCTGTTAAAATGGCCCAGTCCAGTTGCTAATGTCTTCATGAAATTATGTCTATTGAAAACCAGTTCAGAAGAGCCTGCTCTGCTTTTAAACTTCGTTCTATTACATACACAAGTGAGGCCAAGAGAAGTAGTACTGAAAATCCCAGATACTCAGAAAGTAAAGCACACCGGTTCTCCATATTGACTAAGTGAGATAGAGTAAATGACGGCACATATCGTCTGCATGAAATCCGAGAATTCCAACTAGGACCTGTATGGAGTGAGTTGGCTTATGGATTGTGATGATATGAATCTATTTTTGGCATTGATTTCTTAGGTGGCCTGACAATAGTCTAAATACCATAATCTTGTCCAGATTTTTGACCAGAGCAACTAGAAGTATTTTGATTATTGACAATTTTAAACTGAGACTATAATATTTATACCACAGTTTCATTACAATGAATAGACCAAAAAGTCTTATATTTACGTTAATAAACTAGCTAACTGAATATAATAAAAAAATAATGTGGAATTGTCGGAGATCGGTTCACACCACATTTAAAGAAAAGAGGGAAAATATTGAAGTATGCCAGAAGCATAAGGAATAAAAGTATGCAATTGTAAACCATTCAAAATTTCTAAGACAAACATGCATATCAGCTGACTGATTTGGTTTAAGCCATCCTGTTAATGATTTCCAACAAAAAATTATTTATGCAGTTCAAAAAACGTCGTTAGGTAAAGGTGGGTAGTAAGATAGTGGTTGTACGTGGTCGTCAGGAATCCCTGGGCACGGGTTTCGTGCTACTTGGTACTCGTCAGCAGGGTGTATCTGTAATCTTGAGGGAACTGGTGCTCCCTGACAGATTCGATCCCGTGTCACACAGCTTCGTTACCACTGAGCTATCCGGGCCGCGACCGACCTCCTGTAGGACTGAGATGTAATCACAGCTGATTGATCACTTGGCAGTGATCAATGTCATGTGTGTCAAGTCCTTCTTAGTGCAGATCGAAAGGTCCAGGGTTTCCTGTTGACCACCTTCAACCGCCATCTTATCTCAACATAGTGCACGCAGTGTCGAGGAACCTAGACTACTGGTCACATGGCAACTTGATCGATAGCATTCGATCTGCACTATGAAGGACTTGACACACATGACATTGATCACCACTCACCGGATAGTGGCTAGCAGTGAGAGCCAAGACAAGCGTTTCGTACCATTCAGGACTGGTCAACTGGATGTACATATATTCCCGTATTAAGCCTCATTTCAGAACTTGAACCTGGAGCCTTTCGCTTAAAACACCAAACGCGTTACTCGTTGGACTATTAACTTTAGATAGGTACTAGCTTGCTCAAGTTCAAACAATTATTTAGTAACTCCATAGACTAATGTTATTTCTACGTAAAAATAAAAACTAGGGTGCATAATACTACTAAACTCTATACTTGACCTTTCTTAAACATACCGATGACATTCTTGTACCATAAATTATATAGTTTATTGAAGTTGAAGTAGTCTCAGTGATGAGTGAAGTTTCTCAGTAGAAGGGTAAAAAAAATATTTTTTTATGATTGGAATTTCGATAAAGGAAATATTAAGTGACATTCTAGCAAAGTAATATATGTATATATTTCTATCAACAGCGTATTATTATAATAAGATTACACAGAAGACTCTATAGAAAAATTTGTTGACTCAATTCAACTTTGTGGAGATGGTTAAAAAATGATTTAATGTGTGGATACATTTTTGTGAACATTGATGCCTAACAAAGTTAATGTGATCTGAATACATTTCACTGTCGATTGCAAAACATTTAGTTTACGATTGTGATGTTGCGTTGATGATGCAAATACACCCCCTCAATTGATACCTACCTCTAAATTCAATTTACAAGTTTACAACGTCTATCTTTCCTAGTTTGTCAGATATATATAAGCTATATTCAGAAAGGTAATTAATTCTTAAGCTACACTGGTGATTGAATAGATGATAAAGTCACACATACTAGATGAATAATGAAGATATTACTCTGTTGTTTTAAATTTGAGAGGTATTTGAATACATTACCTCAGTGGGTAAAAATACAGCGGAGTAGACTATAATGTGGGATTAACAAATAACCATTTGAAAGATATGTATATATATGTACAAAACTCACAGTTGATGATGGAAAATAAACATAGAAGCAATAATGACATGAATGTTGACAACATAGTGCGATAGTTTCAGGACTAGCATTATCTAAATCTCTGCAAGCAGTTGGGTCGGGGATTGTGAATTGTCGCGGGGATGAAATTGCATATTGTTGTTCTCTAAATCCAGATAATTCACTCATAGTTGTACACCCATGTATGCTGTTATCATGTGTGTATATATCTGTGTAGAGTGAATCCGTTTTTGCTATAGATTTTTTGGATAGTCTAGTAGCTGTAGAGTTACAATACTGTTCAGACTTTTGACCATAGTAAATAGGGGAAGCGTTTTGACTACCGAATTCTGATTTATGGGTTGGAGAAAGATTTAAGCTAACTGACCCACTTTCTTCCATACACTCATTACTAGATATATCAAAATGAACTGGATCACTATATTCATGATAATTGACTTTTTTCTTGTTCATTCGCCTATTCCGCGAGAATATATTCATTTTGTGAATTAAACTCAAAGCTTTATTCTGATTACAGTTGCCAGTTAGCTTTTTAATAAACATCCAGTTTTCATTTGAAATACTTGACAAACTATGATCGGTATCCTTTAGATTTCCAGGTATTTTAGCTTTATAATGTGGTTCATTCTCATGACTTGATGCATTCTTAGATTTCTTCCTAAACATTTTATGAATTCTATTCTACTGGATAAATACGAAAATATTGATTTAATCTCTTTGAATGTAGGTGATCAATATAATTGATCATTATCTGCAGATGATAAGAATCAAAACTCTGCAACACAGCACATCGTATTACATATTTCATTTCCGACTTGCTTAAATTAATATCCCCTGTTTATATTCAACAGTTAGTCATCCGGTTTTCAATGAGCAGTCAATGATAGTAAAATATGATCAGAATGGAGATTTGCGGAGATTGTAGTAATTTTAGTGGTTCAATTCTAGTCGATCTAATCCGGACCACCATTGAAAGCACTGGACAGCCGTCTGGTCCCAGTATGGGCCTCCTCAGCAATACGATCCACGATCACACACATGGGACTCGCATCCAGGATATTTGGTTTCGTGCGCCAACACTTAAACTACAGACCACTAAGCCAGGATTCAACGGTGTTAATATTTAACTTCAATCGACCCACGATTTTGTGCAACCCTTCATCCACTTACTGAAATAGATAACTATTATCAGCAGACACGGATTAAACTCTACTGGTCACGGCTTCTAACTAGAACTCCATCTTGAAGCTAGTACAAGTGAGCACATGATAATCTATTGCTTCTTCGACTTATGAATTCAACTGGTAAAATATTAGTTCCAAACCAATCTCAAGTTTGTGGCGGATACGCAGCATCAAGGTCCTGACTTCTGAGTGTATAAAAATTAATTTTAATGTGAAAACCACTGATAAATATTAATAACACGTTGAGATGCTGAAAACTCAATCGAAAGTGTACTAATGAAACGAATATGTACAAAAACACGGAGAAGTGATACTTTGTTGCGGTGTTTAGTAGAATATATGGATTTCTGACTAATAATGGAATTCATTATTTGGAACTCACTAACTGGATATCACTGTTAGCGCTATATCGATGCTATCTGTACAGCATGCACAAATGTCAACTAATACAAATTCAGTCAAGATTATCAACAATGGTAATTATACGATCGTCTCCGATGATATTTCGTTAGTGTTTGTTAGAATTAGATTATACAAAGTACGCTATACTCAAGATAGAACCTTTAGCCAACTTTGAGACGTTTATCAATGATGCAGACATAACATATTTTCAGTAAATTCTTTCATTTTGTACTATAAATCACTTATTTATACTTGCCATTTTCTGTTTGGTCGCAGTTTCCCCGAGATCAGTGTTCAATACCGCACTTAATCTTTATCAACTTGTTTATATGTAAAGAAGTCTTACATTTGCCGATGTCATAGTTCCATCCTTTATGAGGTAACTCATTCTTTATTGTATACCAATAATGTTGTGCTAACCATTACCCACAAATCATATTCACTTCCTGTCTGTTTGGAAAGTGACAGTCACTGTGTAACAATTATCTACTATTTTGGATCAAGAGAGTGTAAAAATCTTAAGGACTTCACAAACAATAGATAGTCGTCTGGATACAATAAAATGTGCACATTCTTCATAATAGATCAAGTAAGCACCTCGAACATCGTAAGGCAGATTTGAATTAATTAGTAAAAATCATTTACATAGAGCGAATTTACAAAGTCCAGTTCTTTAGACATTTATACACAAGCCAGTATATGTACATGTCGACAGTTGGAAATAATAGGTATGTAGCAATATTCTATCATCATAGAAGTGGAATACTCCTAAATCTCAAAGTTATGCAGACACATCAATGAAGAAATTCCTAATTTAAAAACTGCTTGTACTTCCATAATTCCAACTAAGAATCACTACTCATTTGTGAAAACCTAATAATACTACATCTTCCAAAAAGAATCCCAAGTTGAAATACATGACACATTGTCTGAAGAAAATTGAATTATCAACAGTCCACATGTTCAAAGTGTGCCACAAATAAAACTGGGTGTATTGTATTTGAACGTATAAAGAAATGATTAGGAATTTATTGATTAACCGTTAAACACTTCAATCAAAAGAAACGTTATAAACTATCGTCAGAAAAAAAACATGCCAAATTAAACGACCAAGTCAATAATAATACGAATAACTGTATTCTTTTATTTATTTTAACAAAAACAAAGATTTTTTTTGAAAATTGCATTCACAAGTTCTACAAAACAAAACTGTTACATAACATTGTGTAAATATGTAACTTCATGATAACAATTTAAGTCCCTTAAAATAAACCTGAATAGTTGACTTCTCGTATGGGCGTGTAGCTAATGCTGTGCACAGATCTTCCGGTTGTTCTATCCACAAATAATGGTCGATACTGGCGTCTTTTAATTTACTTGCTAAATTTTCCAATTGTTCCGCATTTTCAACCCCTAAAACAACTTTATGCATTCTATTTAGATCGTTTAGATATAATACCGTATCTGGATGTGTAAAGTAAGTAGCAATGGCTGCTGTAGCGGCATGACAACCTTGTGCAATTAATGCACCTAAAGGCCAATTCAGTGCCGTTAACAAATCACGACGTAATACAATATACTGAACTATAGCCATGAAAACAATGAAAAAAATTGAGTTGGATAAAGATGAATCAGTAAAAGTTGGCTGAGTTCACAGGGTATATATTTTAGCTGACAGTTAGTTCACTTTACACAGATAGACATGTATCCTAAAAAATGACAGGAAAGAAAAAAATACAACTATACAAATCTTAAAGAAATTAATGGTTTGAAAAATTTCAAAGATTTGATTAAACTAGATAGTTGGACGGTACAACACGAATAACCTTTAGTTAGGATGTAATTTATAATTCAAAAAGCATTAAATGATAGCTCCAATCGAGCACTTCAGTAATTTTATCTGTTTCCTTTTTTGATAACTTTAAACAATGTTTAAAAAAAAATTTGTAGAATAAACTGAATTAATCGTATTTTGAAGCTTTTTATGAACAACTATGAACAGTTTAAGCTGAAAAGGTGCAATATTCTTATTATAATAAGTAACAAACGTTGTACAGCCTCTAGTAAATGAAGGTGAAATAAATATTTAGAATGAAACCGAAAACCATGATAAGTAACATATGTTATTAAACATGGTTAACATAGAAGCATACATTCGCTGCAAAACAGTCGTAGAGGTGATATTACAGTTAATAATAATCAAAACAAGAATGATAAACAACTAGGCAATTAACATCAAAACCAAATTAATTTGTGACAATTAATAAGTATATCGCTTTTTGTAATTTCAGGTTTGCAGTTGATGAGAAACCTTAAACTTAAAATACAATAGATTTTATTCTGAAAACTGTTCTTGCTTTGTTTACATTCGTGAATATCTCTAAATCCTTAAGCTATGTTCATCAAAAACATATTATTTGGGGATCTACTGAAAACCAGGAAGCATTGAACAACTGATCGACTTTAGTGTATAATCGTCCAGCGATACGCATGCACAAACATACCGGCAAAAAATACAGCTTAGAAATCAAATCGATCTATATAAGATACCTTGACTAATCCTAGTTGTTTTACAACTTGAACCTAGGCTACTAAGAGGAACATTCATGTAAAAATACAATATAAGGCAGTATTTAGTTCAAGAAAATCAGTTAATATTAAAAGTCTACTAGTTGTCGAGAACAGTTGAGTGAAATGAATGCTCAGAAACCATCTACAATTTAAACTACCTTTTATGTTTCCAAACACCACTTTTTATCTGTTTGACCTTCCTGAGTTTCCACAGGAGATGTCTTGACGAGTAAATATGTAATCAAATTATTTGAAATGTATTTATTGTATGAATCAAATAATCGTTTTTCAAATCGACTACCACTTAACTCATTAACTTTTGGAGCTCAGCAGTTGAAGGTCAATGAACACTAGATTTTGATGGTTTAAAGAGTTAAGCCCATAAACTAACATTTGAGTTAACGAAATACACAATGTGTATTGATGTTATTCTGAAAGAGTTGACTAAACTTGTTGGGTGGCTAATCTGGAGTCATTACCAGTAAGAAAGCAACATATCTTAGTACAGAATAAATGTACAATTAAGTAGTGTAAAAAGATAAAAAAATAATTTGCTGTCTAGCGTTGCTTAATGATATTGTCTGTTCACTTACCAGGTGAATCATTGAATTGCTCTTTAGAAGAAAACAAGTGAAAACTCAAAATTCTCACGGAAAATATTCTATATCGAAAGACAGAGATACAAGGTCAACATAGTGCTTGAGTATTGATCTAATATTTACTGCCCAAATTAACTGACCAGTTAAGAGCTTTCAGTTTATCTCTGCCAAATATACATAAATGAATTCATCCACAAAATGATAGGCTGTCATCGAGAAAGAAGGTAGCGATTTTATGGTAGTATTGAAAGCTGAAAAGAACCTTACACAGATTTTCATCATTCTTATCATTATAAGGACAACTACTCCAAAATCCATCGATAGCCCTTTAATTTTATTGATAGAGTAGCAAGTGTTAACTAAATATCCAAGATCAGGTCAATGTTATTCATTGTCTTTAAGATTAAACAATCTGAAACATTCTCCAGTAAATCAACATGGTATGATAAGACTGCCAGAAAGAACACTAGAAAAGAGAATGACTAGAATTTAGTACCACTGGGGGTAGATCTGACCATAATCTTGGTGTAACAGTTATTGGTTTAGATGAGTTAATGAATCTCACAAGACCATTTGACTGCATAACATCTGAGTTGCATACATAGAATATAAAGATAAGGAACAGAACGAAATTTTTACATAATTGCAAGAAAGAATGAAACATAATTCATGTAAATAGCAGTATTTATTTAAAGATAAATAAAACCAATCATAAGAGATAATCATATACAAAAAGTGGTGCATACTTCTTGAATGTCTTTTTTGTAGTAAGAATCACTATTTACAACACAAATCACAGAAAACAGATTTTTTCCTAAATATTCTATGCACTAGAATCAGAGTCAGAATCACTTAGTTTTAAATCATGTTCAATCAGTTTACGATGGGCTGCTAAATTTGTTGTATTGACTGTTTTTATATTAGTTTTTCCATTTGAAGATGGTTTCGTATTCGATGTTTTGTTTCTATCATTTGATAAACTACTTAAAGTAGATGAATTTGAATCACTTTCTGAGGAGCTGTCACTATCACTCTCTGATGTTTCAATATCCATGTCACAACTACTAGAAGTACCACTATTACTACTGCTGCTGCTACTACTACTTAGCGTTCTAGAGTGTGGAGGCTTTTTTTGAGTAGACTGCTGTACTATAGTACTCGAAGTCGACATCTCGGGATCATTTGATTTTCTTTTGGTTGGAGATGGTCGAATGGATTTTAAATCTTGTTCTGAGCGGCCAGCCAAGGACTGGAACTGTGGTATTTCTGAGTTGGGCGGACCAGTGGCGTCAGATTTTCTTTCTTCTCGAGTTTTCTTTAGTTGTACGGTATGTGCGATTCTCTCCAAGGTTAATTCATGAGTCTAAGTCAGAGAGTAACACAAAACACATCGGTGATGAAAAGGAAAACTAGTAATCTTTGGTTAACGCAAGAAAGTAACAGAGAAAAATATACCTAATACGAAACCAAATTTTTAAGCAGAATAGGTTATGATAAGCACCTCGAAGTATCCGAAAGGAAGAGAAAGCGAAATGTTTGAAAACAGTAAGGTTTATTATAAACATGCAACGTACGTTAGTGGTGGTTTTACAAATTGTATGACGTGTGTTATGGATTTGGCTTTTTTATAATAATTTATCCTTCAAACAATAGTTCATTGCAGTTAGGCGACAAACTACGATGTATAAACCCATAAATGAAAATGAATTGAACAAATGGTGCCATTTGGATAAGACTAGAGGGAGTTGAAAATGTATGGAAAATTGCTGACCCAATTTTCCTAAACACTTGAGTTTACTGCGAAAATGTTAGTTAATTTAACCAATCTTAACTTTTCTCAATTTCGCAACGAACAAGATAAGGATTATTAAAAGTGAGATGGACGAAAATTCATTTATTGCTGAGTTGTTAAAGATTCATTTATTGAAGTATTTTTTATCAATGCTTAGCACTGGATAATGTACCAGTTACACAAACTCTACTGTGATTTTTTTACACAAACTAACACACACAATGAGGTCCACAAAACGAACAGGAAAACTATAAACATTTTGAGAGGAACTCTTGTCTATTCAATTTCTGCGAAATAGGCAGGTTTAAGAGATCCACACCTTTCAAAGTTAATGACTGATAAACTACGGAACGTCAATTTTTCTCTAAACAAACAATTGGAATTCAAAGTATGCAACTACTGCGTGAACTGAAATGGAACAATGGCATATAGGTTAAAACACGCTTTGTAACCAGAGTTACTAGTTCGAACACCGTTTATCTCATGTCAATTTGAATACCTGGATGGTATGATTTAAAGCTGGATGCATAAATATGAACATGATGAATAGGTTTAATTTGATTAAATAGGATCTCAAAAATTCAAAACGATGCAGTAAGAGTTTACGTTTGTACAACTGGTGTAGAGTTTCCAGAAAATCTTGTAGCTAAAAGCAAAGTTGGTAATTGTACATAAAACACGGAAAAGGACAGACAACCCAGCCATGCATTGGGTTATGAATGACCATTGAAAAACACGATCATTGTTAGTCAACGAAATAATTCTGAAAATGTTTTTCAAGTAGTGCTTGAAACACAAGTAAAATATGGTAGGATCTGTGAGTGATCTTTAGGTGAGATAGCAGACAACCAATCGAAAACTACTTAGTAATCTATTTATTTGAACACATACAAGAGGACACTAAATACATGAGCCACATAATAACAGTGAGGTCAGTAGCAGTTATTACTGATTTGTGTGAGGGCAGGAATGCTGCCCGGATGCCCAAACCGGAGTGGATTTCTTGCAGGACCACACCCCGAACCTTCGACCTGAAGGTCTAATCCACAAGATAGTGGTGCAACTTTAGGAGATGAAGTACCATGGTAGTCAATAACCAACAATAGGTTCATATGCCATTTGTTCCTTCAGGATTCTAGAGCCCATGTGCACAATTGGTTTGGAATCAGGGTTTTCCAACTCACCTAGGTAGACCCTCCGTACCCACTAACCGGGTCAAAGCACCGGACATTCGCTTTTCATCCTCCTGATTTCGTAAACAACACCGTTGAGAATGCAGTGAGTAGGAATTTTCTGGCAGTATCTGTATACACATGGCCATGCGAGGGTATTTCGACAGAAGAGGACTCTCTCCACCATCGATCGTACCAGGGCATTTGGGGGGTCTATTTACGGTCAGTACCTGACTGTTTAGATGATGAATATTAAGCAAAAATAAACAATCACTGTAATTGCGTGGTGCATTTTTATCTTGGTTGAAAATATGTTAAACAATCAAATGAGAAAACTATAGTTGTGTTCAAAATATTTTTAAGAGTCTTGTTGCATCACCTTTTTATTGTAGATCAAAATACATTCTTTTTGAACAGGACGTGCAGTTCCACGAAACAAAGTTGCTGTATCTGGTCCAGAGTTTGTAACGTTAGGCAGACTGACAACAACTTCTTTGTTCTTGTTTACTTTGATTGACCCAGGTTGTGAACGATCGACAGAAGCAGGCATGAAATCGCAACGCATGGTCATGTAGG